CAATCTTGAAATGCCAGATGACCTCAAGGTGTCCTGGGTTGACATTTACACTGGAAGATAATTTGACATTTATCTAGGCTTCCTCCATTCACTTGAAGTCATTCAAGGGGAGCAGTAACAGGGCAACTTAAAAACATTCCCTGAGCCCTGACCAGTGTGGCTCACTTGCTTGGGTGTTGTCCTGCCAAGCAAAAGGTCACTGGTTTGATTCCAGGTCAGGGCACAGGCCTGGGTTGCAGGTTCCTTTCCCAGTCAGGATGAACCAGAGAGAACCGTTCCATGTTTCTCTCTCACATCGATGTGTCTCTCCCTCACATTCTTCCTCCCTTCTGCCTTCTCAAAACATACATAAATAAATTCTTTTAAAATAATATCTCCTGAATCTCACAATTAGATACTTTCATGTTCACTTCATGGAAGGCCCCCTGTGGGACTCAATCTGACAAACTCGTGTATTTGGGGGACAGTGCTGCACAAGTCACCAGAGCAAAGAGTGGTCAGAGGAAAGGTGACGGTACAGAGAAGGGGCCAGTAAAGTTCTTCTCTGTTGGGCTGGGTGGGAAATACCAGCATTTTATGTCTTGCAGGACAAGAGGCAAAGTTAGGGTGTTATGTAGGTACTGACACAATAATAGAAAAAGAATATTTCCACATTTTTGGATAAAATTCAAATAGAACATTGACTACAATTTTTTTTGAAATACAGATATATTACTAAGAGGAACAGATTCCTTTTTTGAATAAAATTCTTGAAAATTTATTCTACTGGGGTGAAAAATAGCGTTTCTCATATTATATTGATTGCAAATATCTCAGATCACATGCAATACAAAATAGTCAGTGGGATGAGCCTTAGTTCTGTACTAATTTCAGGTACCGAAAGTATGGTTTCAATATTTAAGCATCCCTGGAGGTTCTGGCTAAAGTTACAAGAAGAAGAGAAAAAAAGACAGAGAGAAGCCTAAGCATTGGAGCAGGTACTTTCCCACTCTTTGCAATACTATGATTGTATACCTATAAAACCAAGACTCCACAAAGTATTGGACCAAATTTAATTATAATTATTGAGAAATTCTTCAATTTTGCTAAAGTATTCAAATTATAAAAATCAATAGCATTTCTCTATACCAGCAAAAACTCATGATAATAACTAATCATTAAATAAAAAAACAGCCTTTTCATGAAGATGGTGCCCACACGGAAAAAGGAAGCTCCTGCCCCCTCCAACACCAAAGCCAAAGCCAAAGCCAAAGCCAAAGCCACAGCCAAAGACAAAGCAAAGGCTTTGGAGGCAAAGAAAGCAGAGTTGAAAGGCGTAAAAAGCAACACAACAAAGATCCGTGTGCCAACGACATTTCCACAGTCAAACACTGTGCCTCAGGAGGCAGCCTTCATGTCTGGACAAGGAAACCCAAGCTTGACCACTCTGCCATTGTCCTGTCCCCCTGTCCACTGAGGGAGCCATGAACAAGACACACTTGTGTTCACTGTGGGTGTCAAGGCCAACAAGCACCAGGCCAAACAGACTGTGAGGAAGCTCTACGACATTGACCTGGCCATGGCTAACACCCTGCTCAGGCCTGATGGAGAAAAGAAGGCATGTGTTCACCTGCCTTCCCTATGTGATCATTTGGAAGTTGCCAATAAAATTGGGGTCCTCTGAACTGAGTCCAGCTGACTAATTCTAAACTTAAATATTCTACACTGTGAAACAAACTGGTGACAGTACACAGCAATTAACAACCAAGAATACACTAGAAAACTACCAAGGAGAAAATTTTAAAACTCTGAGAAAGGACATAGATGATGTGAGTACCCTGACAGACACTGGACTCATTGGTTTTGGTCCTGGGACCCAGGGTCAAATGTCTGACCTCCAGAACTGCAGGACAATAAAATGGCTGTTTTGGTCTCTGAGTTCCTGGTGACTTGTTCCAGCTCAATCAGGAAACTAATGCAGGGCCCATGTCTCCCGTCCAGCTGGAGGCTAAGACCAGAGCTTCCACACTGCATTTCGGATGCTCAGGCAGAGTGAGCACTTGGACGCAACGAGCATGTGTGACCTAGAGAGTAATCCCATTCCCACTGTCCTGCCTTTGGGAGTTCTCCTGTGTGCTCTTTGCAACAGGGTTGTTTCTCTTTCCTTAACCAATTCAGTGTACTTCCAACCCTAAGAACGCATTGATGGACAGCGGTATGATAGGTTGACACAGAACTAAAAAAAAAAAAGAAGGATCATTTAAATGTCATGGTGGAAAAGACCCAATGGGACTTGACCTTGACCTTGACCCTCCAATCCCTGAGCAAAGTGCATCAAGATGCAGTAGCGTCACTCCCATTGAAAGCTGATTTTGCCATAGCTTTCATTCAATTCCTGGTTGTATTCGAAATCCTAGGAAATCAAAATACAGGTTTGAAAGTCAGTGTCTTTCTCCATGTGTGCCTTTACATGAAATAATAACCAATCTGGGTGACAAGAACAAGACAGTGAAATAGGAGGTGCCAGCCCTCATGTCTGCATGGAAACACCTATTTCAAAAACCACTTGTGGGTGACAATACCTTACCATTTACGGGACTCTGGGATATAGCTGAGGTCCCACAACCCATGGTCCTCCGTAATTCAATAAATCCAAGACATTGATGCAAGGAAGAAGGTGAGAAGGACAGATTCCCTTCACCAGAGTCACCCCTCCCAAGGCAGCACAGCACTGGCACCTCTGGGAGCCTGTTAGAAAGCAGAGACTGAGGCACCACCAAGACCTGCTAACTCAGAGCTGGCAGTTCATCACGGTCCCAGGTGATTTGTGTGCATGTTCTGAGAAGCACTGCATGATCGCACACACGGGAATCCATAAATGATGTTTCTGGTTGTTCTCTGTGTTATTTACCGTTTATGTGAATGGTGTCATGCTGCATGTATCTGTTCTTCAACAAGCACTTTCTGAGATCACACCATGCTAATATGGATCTACTACATTATTGTTAACTTGTTGAGGAAAATTCCCATTTATGTTGCTGCTCATGAAATCTATTAGGAAATGGACTATCAGTGGCATAGACATAGTGAAATCATGTACAAATGGCCCTTGGGCTGTCGGGGGAAGTAGTCCTTCCCAAGGAATATCAATCACCATTTATGGCTGTAAGACTAAGTGTTATATACCCAGGAGAAAACAATGTTTTTCAAGTCCTGAGCCTCAATGACAGTGAGAAAACTCAAGGTAGCCTAGCCTGACAAGAGCACTGTTTTATGAACAGGGCATCAGTACAGAATGGGAAGGGTTCTTCACCCTAATTTGAATTGAAGTTTATATTCTTAATACACCTAGGGACACTAGCATCTCACATAAGACATGCACAGCAGATACCAGTGGTGGTGAGGGAGGTTTTCCGGCCTCTACTCCCTCCCAATGGGGGGGTGTAGAGAAGGCAAGTGAGGAGGCCGGGCCCTGACACCTGACTCTCCTGGCACCCTAAGAGCATCTATTTGCCAGTGCCACCCTGAGAAGGAGAATTCCAGGATGGGGCAAAAAATGGGCAGCTCCTAGTTTGCTTTATCAGATCACTAAGAAACAGGCCAATCAAAGGGCAGACAGAGCTCACAGGGATGCAGAATGACTGCAGAGGTGAGAGAATCCTGAAACCCAGGGAAATTCTGAGGGGCCAGAGGAGCATTATGGGCACAGGGCCATGGAGCCCCTCGTGGGCCTGCTGCCAGCTCTCAGTCTCTCACCTACACACAGACAATCACACAACTAACTGCAAGATACGTGATTTATTGACCAGGTAGAAGAAAGTGTTGTTCATGGTAGAGTTCTCCCAGGTATGGCATAGGAGCTTAGAAATTTGGAGAAAACCTTTGGTTCTTGGTGAGTTGATGAGTCTTTTCTAGACATGTTGAGAAGATGCTGAAGATTCAGAGATAATGCCTTCCTGGAGGACAGTGCTGGAAATCAGGTCACAGAACTTCTCACAGGCTGACATGGGGACCATGGAAGGAAGCACTCACTGGGCACTAAATAAGCACATGAGAGAGAGCACCCAGAAACTCATTAGCACTTCCAGGATTGAACTGAGGACAGACAGAGTTTCCAATACAGAGAAAAGTGGTGAAGATGTAGCTGACAGCCTGCTGTCTAACCCAGGCTACTTGCCAGAACAGGGGGAAGGGGGGCATTGGGCAATGATTTTCCTTTTTCGGTGACTGTTCCCATCTTACCCTTCCCTAAACTGAGTCTGTGAAAAACAGAGAGGACTCAGTGGAGGACCCCAGGCTGGTTTCTGCCATCCTCAGCATTAAAGGTGTTGCACAAGTTTTGATAAGTCAAGAAAGAATGGCAACAACCATAGTTACCATTATTAAATGCTGACTTTATGCAAGCCATACTTGCTAAGGCTTTCCCAAATGTTACCTGAATAAAGCCCCACAATACAGCCGAGGGTGGAAAAATGGGAGGAAATGAAGGGCCTATTTTCCAGGGGTAGGACAAGGGGAAGGTCAGAGAGCTCACTTCCAGGGCAGAAGGTCAGGATGTGCAGAGATCAAAGGAAGATGGTATTCCCAGAAATGGGAGGGTGAGACCAAGGGTGAGTGAAACCTTGGAAGATGGACAAATCCCAGAGGTGTATTGAAGTTTGGCACCCACACCCTGGTACTCTTGCCCTGTTTCACATTTGAAGTGTTAATGATTTTAGGACATTATCAGCTCCTGAGGCCTGCTCAGCAGCAGGAAATCCACACAGTGACCCTGTGAGGGGCACATCGTTGTTTGTTCCTTTCAATACTGAGGCCATTTGCTCTAAAGGTCATGAGGGGTGGCTCCTGAACCAGAACTCCCAACTCCAAATTTCAAGCTCATCCCACAAGCTTCCTCACCAAATGTGTGTATTTGCAACCTTTGGACATCAAGTCCTGTTGGTTTTGGGGGGCAGGGACCCCTGGACTACCCCAGCCCCATCATTCAGCACCCACCTGGAGGCCTGGGTTCTGTGGTTCCATCAGTCCTGGGAACAGTGGTCTGCAGAAGCAGAACAGAGCATAGTCAACCAGCAGCCCCTTATTTCCCAGAGAGAAACCGAATGAGTTTCTAGGGCAGGACAGAGGGGCCCCTTTGGAGGTGTTAACTTCTCTTGCTTTTCTCCAATCAGGAACACCGGGAGTTAGGAAGAGGAAAGCAGAGAGATAAATTTACCTGCATTAGTCACATCCAGCACATTTTCCTTTGGAATTCCATGGTTTTCACAAAGTTCCTCAAACCTTTTCTTGATTTGAGGACTCACATCTGGGTTGCGGGCTGTGGGAAGAGTGACAGTAATGGCTGTGACTTTGTGTTGGTCATGGAGGCCCTTGGGACAGGGGGACAGATGATGGGGATGGATGGCACTGACTGGTGTTTAGGCAGAAATGAGGGGGAGGCTGTTGCTTGTCTTGATTTTGACTTTTTTAGGATGGTGAGAGATTTCATCACCTTTCCATCACCACGTAGCTGGGGGGGACCCATGGTCAGCACCTTTCTTTGGGGGTGAGTAATGGCCCAGCAGAAGATCCGGGGAAACTTTTATCTGCAGCCCACTCCAAGGTGAATATCAGCATGAAAATACTCTACCGTGGAGCTCTATCCCTTGGATTATTTCCTCATTATGGTAATTCAAGTAATAAAGAATAAAATAGTCATTGTAATCTGCTTCAACTATGTGAAACTCGTTGTATCCATCATCTGTGAAGGAAACAGAACACAGATCAGAACTTCTTAGGCCCATGGGAACCAAGTGAAACTCTTTACCTATTTTCCTTCACAAAACAAATTCCAGTGCAAATCCTGGAAGAGGTAAAGGTGATATCTAAGCATTCTACTTGCCCCCTTGGGCATGATCTGGTTAACTTCCAAGGGTGGAAATGGAAACCCGTGGTACCTGGATTCCTAGTGGTAGGAAATTCTGCCACAGCTGCAACTGACCTTCTATTATTTGCCCTGAAGGTCACCAACCTCCCTGGGCCATGTCTGCTGACTGTGTGTCTCTGTCCTGTCTAGGAGCCCCACTGGTATTACATACTGGCACCTTGTCTGGGCAAGGTTCTGTGGCATAGGCCACCAGAAGACCTCACGGTGGACGTGGAATGAGAAGTTCTTCAAACAATTTAATTTTCTGTGGTCCAGTTTTCTTTTGTTGCAGGTGGCACACATGACCACACTGCCATCTTATTCTCGTGGTCTATGTGCCAGGACATGGCTTTTACAACCAAGGTTGCCCAAATATTAGAGAACTTGGCTATTGCGTGGCTCATGTGTAGAACCTAAGGAGCATGAGTCAGAAAGGGATCTCAATCCTAAAGACACTGGCATTTAGTAAACTTCTTGCAGCTGTAAGTAGAATTTACAAAGACCTTTTAAAATGTATACTTACAGCTAGCACTACATACACCTTCTTCTTCTGTTTCATCACAACCGAAAGTCAGTTCAACACACTCTCCATTGATCCTGTGAAACAGAATGAGCTGAGTGGTGTCCGTGAGATACTGAGGGGCTGGCTCCCTTCCACTGCACCTGTACCCTGAGTGTCCCATTTTGTGAAGCATTGAAAAACCTTTGGTAAAACTTTGAAAGAGCTTTTATTTTCCTCTTTCACTTTATTTGCTGCTTTAAGAATGAGCCAACTACTGACATCACTGTTCCTCCACTTCCCACTCTCACTACTGCTGCGGCTACCTGTCTAGGTACTTGGCCGAGGGCTCAGCTGTGCCAGTGTCTCAGATAAATGCTGTACAAGCATTGCCTCACTCAGCTGTCACACACACACACACACACACACACACACACACACACACACACACCAACAAAGAATTATGATCATGTTTTCACCCAATGGATAATTGAGGAAGAAAGAGTGAAAATTTCTAGGTCGCACAACTAGTAAGAGATAGTTTCACGACAGAGCCAGGCTCTCCATCCCCATCCTATACCCTCTTACCTAAACTACTCTGTCACACTCCTTAGGACTCAGATCCCCACTGCCCCTACCTCTTGTACTGTCATTTAAACCCCTTCCGGTCAGCAGTTCTTACCTCTGAATCTAGAGAATCTTCAGGTTGATCAGGTCGAGGATCAGTATGTGATAAGGGACTCTGATTTTGGACACAGGCCCACAATACAAGTGTTCACAGGAATGTGCGTGTTTGAGTGTGTGTGTGTGTGTGTGTGTGTGTGTGTGTGTGTGAAACTCCAAGCCATATTCAGTTTCTTTCCCCAAGTAAAAATTCTATACTTACATTTTATGATATTTCAGTAACAGAGAAGAGTTATCCAAGGCCTGGATGGATTCCAGAAACATTCTAAAGCTACCTTGTTCTTCTACCTTTTCCTTCACGTCTGAGGCCAAGAGAATGGTATACCACTCCCCAGAAAGCTGCAAATAATCAGTAAAATGACTGGGAGAGAAAAGAACAGATGGGACCGTGCATGAAACCTGTCTCCTTGAACTCTATGCACTGGGCAAAGCCTCAGAGTGGTGATGTGAAGGTGGCATTAGAACTCAGGTCGATGGGCACCCCATGCACAACTCTTTCCACTGTCGCTGCAGTGAGAATGGAGGTCCTCAAGGGTTGTTATCTTTCCACATGCTACATCCGCTCTTGGTCCAAGGTCAGAAACCACCCCCTTTGTCTACCATCAAAACCTCTCATCCTCTGGGAGGGTCACCTGGCTTCACAATCCCCCTAAATGCCCCAAAGTCTAAACTCCCTAGGCTTCCCCAACTCTACCTTTGACATGTCGAAGTTGCTTGTCACGACGTCATGGTTCTCTTCATGGTGGGCATAGACCAGGGTCAGCCCCAGACACAGCAGCAGCAGCTTCATCTTGGGAGGAACAACACTGACTCAGTGAGGGTCACTGTGAGTGAGTCTTTTCGTGACGGTGGTTCTGCAATCCGGCGCCTCTGCCTTTATATTCCTTCTGAGCCCAGTTTTCTGTCCCCAGGGCCCCACCAACCCCTCCCACTCCCTGATGCTCTGTATTCAGTGATTGGAGGCCAAGACTGTTCCTGGGCATCTCATCTCTTCCAGATCTACTTAGTGATCTGATTACACAAAACACACACTCAAAACAAAAAAAAAGAGACAGAGGATGCCATAAAAGGATGCCATTTGGAACCAGATTTAACCGTGAAATCTGAAAGCCAATTATGTGTGGCGAGAATGGAGTATCATTGAGAAATGGGGTGTTTGGACAACCCAGCGTCTACCACTCATGTGCTGGGAGGCAGTGGGTGAGTCACTCCATCATAATCAGCCTCAGAAACAAAGAAACTATGTGTACCAAAGATGACAGTACGTGTCAAGAGTCATTCTAATAGTGCCAATAAGAATAGGGCTGGGGAAAATAATGTATGGAAAGGACAGTGTCTGCTATTGAGCACATTTTAACTTCTTTTCCTGGTTGTCTGTGTTCAACCACAATGAAGGAACGAATGTTTAGTCACTACATGCACCTTGCCATATGCCGTAGGTCTCTGGGAGAAGTGGAGAGATGGAAGACGTCATCCATACACACACTTTGTTCCACAAGCTGATGTGGAACCCAGCTGGGTGGGACCAAGTCTGGACCACTGTGGGTCAAGAAAGGGGGTGCTCCCTGGTAGGGGGCATCACGTAGAAAGTGCTTACAAACACAGGCTTTGAATTCACACACCCCTGAGCTTCATTCCTATCTCTGTCCCTTGTATGCCATGAGGACAAATTGAACCTCTCAGAGCCTTAGTGTCCCCTTATGGGGACAATCCTACCTGTCTATAGATGGCTGTAGGGACTCAATGGGACAATGTGTGTAGAAACCTCAGACTAATGTCTGGCACTGCTGGGATGGTGGGGTCAGAGAACTATTCCAGGAAAGATGGGTCTTGAGGACAGGCGGGTGTCTTGAGCTATAGGCAGGGTGTGCAGATGTGGAGAGCATGTGGGGGGGAGGGGCTTCCTGGTGAAAATAGTGTTGTCATTGTGGCTCCTCTGCCCACAGCTGAGGCTTCTTAAAAGCAATGTGTCACTAATCCCTTGTGCTAATGGTCCCTGTCTGCACCCCCCAAACCATAAAGAGCCCTGTGTCACAGGAGGAGGTGGACACAGGGCAGTGAACCTAGAAATTGTGGCATCCCATCTGTGGCCTCCTTTCAAAAGCCCCCCAGCCCCTTGTGTGATCCTGCCTAGTTCTCACTCAACAGATACCTGGTCACTGGTATTTTGTGGTAAGTATAGCCTGAGACACCATGGATTGGTTGGAGGTTGTCCTGCCTCTGAGATAGAGGAACTGAGCTTGACAAATGGTGGCAAAGGTTGTGCGCTGCATTGTGTTTTATTGATTGTCTCCAAGAACAGATGGCAGCCTATGAGCAACCAGGTCTCCAAGATGAACTGGGGTATGAGTCTGAGGAGAGAGGGCCATGTTCTGTTGTTGCCCACACCATCTCTGTCCCATCCCACCCCTTCTGGTGACTCTTTGCCCAAATCAGAGCACCATATTGCAACTTTTTGCTTCCAGGAGCTCCCACTGAGTGCTCAACGAAAACATGAGAAATGGGCCAGTAGCGCCAGGACAATGAGACCCGGAAAGACGAGTACGACTCCCTATTCAAAGTGGTGCTCATTGGGGACACGGGTGTAGGGAAGAGCAACCTGCTGGACCACTTCACCCACAATGAGTTCGACCTAGAGAGCACAAGAACTATTGGCATGGTGTTTGCCACCTGAGGCATCCAGGTGAATGGCAAGACCACCAAGGCCCTGATGTGGGACACAGCTGGCCAGAAGCGCAACTGCACCATCACCTCTACATACTACCGGGATGCAGTGGGTGAACTGCTGGTACACGGCATCGCCAAGCACCTGACATATGAGAATGTGGAGTACTGGCTGAAGGAGCTGGGGTACCATGCTGACAGCAACATTGTCAGCTGGTGGACAACAAGAGTGACCTGTGCCATCTGTGCGCCGTGTCCACTGACAAGATCCATTCTTTAACAGAGAACAACTTGTCCTTCATCCAGACCTCAGCCTTGGAGTCCACCACTGTAGAGGAAGATTTCAGGAATGTGCTCACAGAGATCTACCACATCGTATCACAGAAGCAGATTGCAGACCACGTGGCCCACAGCCAGTGCCCTGGAAACAACGTGGTGGGCATCAGCGTGCCATCCTGTACTGATGGACAGAAACCTAACCAGCTGCAGTGCTGCCAGAACCTGTCAGTTCCCTGGGCCTTGTCCAAGTGTGCAGGCACATCCTCACCCTTCAACCACCCCTCACCCTGATGTTTCCCCTGATCTGACCCTCTCTGTCTTTCTGACTGACTGCCACCATCCCACTAAGCTCTGCAGACTCACCTGGGGCTTAGGAACAAGAGGAGTCGAGCAGCACCTCCTGTCCTCCACCTCTCCCCCCAGAAAGTTTTGAAGCCCAGCTGCTGCATCTGTTTTTGGGAGGCCCCAGTCTGCCTCAGGGAAGGCCTGGCAGGGTGGCAGGATGGACAGGACCAGCCAGAGGCAAGATGATGTGTGCACTGAGCAGGCTTCTTCAGCTTCCCACAGCAGACTCCAAGGAGTGATTCCCTCCCTCCCTCTCTGGCCACTTGTCCTAGGTGGCCCTGGGCCTAACCTACATTCTCACTGTGGGCTGAAGACTGATAAGCAAGTGAACAGGGAGGGAGGATCAGGCAGACAGACACAGACTCTTGGCATCTCACTCCACACACACAGGCAGCACCAGCATTTGTCTTTGTCTTTGACCTCAGCTTTTCCACAGCATGCTTGAATTCAGTTCAGCTCCTGCCTATAGATTTATGCTGGGAGAAGACTCCCCTTTCCTTTCTGCACATAGAACATTCCCCACCCATTGCCATGCCCTTCCCACTGCGTTGTCTCCTTGTGCGGTCAGGAATCTGTTTGCAAGTAAAGCAATGTCTCAGTGTTTTGTGTACATGAAAAAAGAGAAGAGAACAGAAGAGATGAAGGCATGTACCACAGAATGTTCTCCCATCCAGTATTCATTCTCGATGCCCAAATATTTACTGAAGACTTGTATCTCTCTATTCACGCAGAAACTTTTTTACTGACGTGTCCCCTAGAGCAAGAGACATAAAGGGAAGAATAAATAAATGGGACCTCATCAAAATTAAAAGCTTCTGCACAGCTAAAGAAAACAGTATCAAACTAAAAAGATAACCAACTGTATGGAAAAACATATTTGCCAATGATACCTCAGACAAGGGTCTAATCTCCAAAATATATAAAGAACTTACATGACTACACTCTAAGAAGACAAGGAATCCAATTAAAAAATGGGCAAAGGACTTGAACAGACACTTCTCCAAGGAGGACATACAAAAAATCCAAAGACACATGAAATGATGTTCAATATCGCTACCTATTAGAGAGATGCAAATTAAAACCACAGTGAGATACCACTTCACACCAGTCAGAATGGCCATCATAAACAAAGCAACAAACAACAAGTGTTGGAGAGGTTGTGGAGAAAAGGGGTCCCTAGTGCACTGTTGGTGGGACTGCAGACTGGTACAACCACTGTGGAAAACAGTCTGGAACTTTCTCAGAAAACTAAAAATGGAACTGCCTTTTGACCCAGCAATTCCACTACTGGGACTTTATCCTAGGAACACTAAAACACCAATCCAAAAGAACCTATGCACCCCAATGTTCATAGCAGCACAATTTACAATAGCTAAGTGCTGGAAGCAACCTAGGTGCCCATCAGTAAATGAATGGATCAAAAATCTATGGTACATTTACGCAATGGAATTCTATGCAGCAGAAAGAAAGAAGGAGCTCCTACCCTTTGCAACAGCATGGATGGAGCTGGAAAGCATTATGCTAAGCGAAACAAGCCAGGCAGTGAAAGACAAATACCATATGATCTCACCTTTTACAGGAACCTAAACAACAAAACAAAGAAATAAGCAAAATATAACCAAAGACACTGAAATAGAGGACAGGCTGACAGTGATCACAGGGGAGAGGGGAGGGAATTTCAGGGGAGAATGAAAAGGGTTTACAAGAACAAATTTAAAGGACACATGGACAAAAACTAGGGGGAGGGCGGTAATGGGAGGGAAGAGGGGAGGGTTGGGTGGGTGGCCTGGACTGGGAGTAAAAGGGAGAAAACTGTACTTGAACAATGATTAAAATAAAAATTAAGAAAAGAAAAGTTGTATCTCTCAATATAAGGTTTTTGGCAGTTGTTTCGGAAAACACTTATGTTTACATTCAACAAAAGTAATGCAACATTTTCAAACATCTGTGTGGAAAATTTGAGTTACATTCCAAACACAACAGCGGGACTTCAAATCATCAGTCAAAGAGTTTGTGTCTCCAACATTCTAAGAAAACCATCACAGGCTTCTGGAACACAAAGCAACCAGGTTGGTGATGGGTGACAAAGAAGCAATGTGTGAAGCTTTCTGTGGAAATCATGACAGTTTACTGTTTTCCCACAGGCACTTAACGTGTTCTCTTTGGATTCTAGGAAACTGTCGGGAAGTTTGGGATTTCTAGAACGCATTATAATTTTTTGTACTTAAACTACGAAGCGTTGGAAAGGAAATGGAGGCTCTGGAAGTCTCCCTCACTGCTGATGGAAATGTAAAATGGTACCGTCACTCCAGAAAAGTTGCTCAGCTTCTTCCAAGAGTTAAACGTAGACCTACATGACCCAGCCATTCCACTCCTACCTATAACCCAAGAGAAATGTAAACATATACCCATGCAGGGACTTGTACGTGATGTTCAAAGGCACTTTATTTGCAATAGCTGAAAACTAGGACCAAGAAAATGTCCATCAACAGAAATGGGTAA